TACAGCGCTCTATCCCATACTAGTATAAACTCTGAGCACTTTACACCAATCACATAATCATTCACACAAGAAAAAATCTTTCACAGAAACAAGAAAAACCAGTTCAACCTCTTAAAGAAAAACTTTCACAACCATACATTAACTATACACGAAAGGACAGTGGAAAAAATGTATATATTTACACATTAACTATACACGGAAGGACCGTGAAAAAAAAAAAAATTATTATATATTTATCTTCTTCTCCACATCGTTCAGCAACAGGTGCCTCAGCCAATGCCTAAGAAGCAACAACAGCAACAACAACAACAGCAACAACAACAACAACAACAGCAGCAGAGGCATCTGCAGCAGACGTCACCGCTGCGTGTTCCCAGCCTGGCGACGTACCATCTCATGTCTGCCCCCTCCCCCGCCCCGAGTGTCGGAACCACTTCCCCGGGCTTTTCTCTGCATGAGGACCAGGTGAGTCTGTGTGTGTGTGTGTGTGTGTGTGTGTGTGTATGTGTGTGTGTGTAAGCTTGTGTGTGTGTGTGTGTGTGTGTGTGTGTGTGTGTGTGTGTGTGTGTGTGTGTGTGTGTGTGTGTGTGTGTGTGTGTGTGTGTGCGTAGGTGTCTAATAATTCTCTATCTGCCCTCTAGTACGAAATAAAAAATACGGATTAAATTTTGCTTCCTTTCATACGTCATTCTTTGATAGATAGGACTGGACCGTCCCTATATCAATAATGTCATGCTCTTTTTTACTCAAGCAAAAATGCCATTGGTTTGTCGATTTTAATGTGTATGCGATAGGAATGAACCCCCCGTATATAAATAATATTTATTATTATTATCATGCTTTTTTCACGAAGCAAGAGGCCATTGCACTGGATTTGTCGATTTTAATGTGCATATGCGTAGGTTTTCATTTCGGAATTTGCTTCTTTGTTTTTTTTTGTTTGTTTGTTTGTTTGTTTGTTTGTTTGTTTGTTTGGAAGGGGTAGGGTGGGAACAGTGGGATAGAGAGCGCAACATAGACGCTAGAATGATAGAGGCAGAGAGAGAGAGAGAGAGAAAGAGAGAGAG